AAATGCTAACGTGACAGAAATATCTGGAGATTAAGCGTTGCGATAATAAACAGTACAACTGTACTTAGGTAATCGAAAACACATCTCAGAACCTCGGTTAACATTTCAAGAGATAGCACAGTTACCGCAAATTGAGAATTGGGAGAGGATTATGGTAGAGTTGATCCCCAAAAAAGTGCGAATTAAAAGACTGTTAGTGCCTTGTTGAAACTTTAGAGTGCGCTTTTTTTAAGTAGTGAGGAAACGATGGAGTATTAATACATACACCCCCGTTCAGCGTTTGGGCGCAAGAATACCTCTGATTTGGGAATGGTGGTAAAAAAGACCTGATGCGTGAGGCTTTTTAAAAGAACAAATGATATGATTTAAATTATGTGGGAAACAATAAAACTGCATTTACGCCATGCTTCTTTTAAGGTAAAGTATGTGATCTAACACATAAAATTCGAGGAATAAAGGTGACGCGATCAATTTTAGGCACCTAAAATGTTACATTTATTTGTTAACAAAAGTCGTTCCCCAAAATATGCTTATTGCATGCAAATATTTTTCTCTATAATTTTAGCAACTCCATGATTTCACACTCTGAAAAGCAGTACGGCAGCAGGGAAGTGAAAAAGCCGACCAAACGTTCCAGTTCTTTTTGCCTTTGCTCCAGCAAAGAGTAAAGTCTATGCACATTCCTCGGCGAAATACCTTCTTAAAGAAGTCACCGACAAAAGAACGTTATTTTAATTGATCATGAGCAAATTCAACATCAGGTTTCGCTGTGAACGTGCATTTTCCATGGCAAGGAGGTTTCATCTTCGGAGGAGTCGACAAATATGACCTGAACGACCATTTGCATTAGAAACAATGCTAAGGAGCTTACTAGCTCTTCAAGAAATATCCTATTTTGTAGATATTTATAGATACTCTGCACTATGAAAGCAGTCAATGGAAGACAGCACGATTCTATATAAAATCCTGCCAGATAAGTGATCCGGAAAGGGGACGACCAACAAGTTTCTCGTATTGCTGAGTCCGTCATTCCCATATTAGAATTGGTCTTGCAATAAAGCGCTGGGTAGGATCGATAAAATGAAGTACGCGATCCCAGAGAAATCGTCGGTAGAAGTTTAGTTTACCTCCCAGAACAGCACGCGAAAACGCCATCCTTATGTAATACGGAACCGGTGGGTTTGGGGTTATACGGGTGGGTCATATTAGGGGAAAGAAAATTAATTTAAAAAGAGCATATAAAAGTAGAAAAAATAGGAGTAATTATTTTAGTAACCAGATATTTGCGCGCGGTGATTAAACTGAGAGACACAACGAATATATAACAAGAAGCGTCCAATCGTATATCATCCCTATGTCGACTCTATATCGAATTGGACCCGTGACGTGAGTGGAATCTTATTTTGAATCCATGCCGAATTTTAGAGATTAAAGTAAAACCATAAAAGGTGGGCATTTTCCCAATTTTTTTAAAACTCACAATAAGCGATAGCACTACTATAAAGTAATCCATTCGTTGGGACAACAAGAACAGGCAAATCGCAATTATGTAGTTTACATTTCGTTAAACAACTCTAAACTTAACCCTAACCGTAAGACACAAGCCCGCGACTAAGCGTATATAAGGTGTGCTACCAATGATGTTTCTGCTGAAATGACCTAATTAGATTTGGGTGGGAGGTCATACTTATGCCGGGATGGAATGTGCCGTAGTAAGCAGCCATACTTGCTAGTGGAAGTGGCGTACTAAGATGTCTGTTTAAAACAAGGCATGCCTACTGTTACGAAGTAAGTAGACAGGTATGCGAAAAATGAGCTGTTCTGGGACGTAAATTAAACTGCCGGCGAGTCGTCGTCACGCACATTTTCACAGCGGCGCGTTCAGACTAGTCCCTCGTGCTTAGGAAAACTGGCTGACGTGGGGTAAGCCTCCTTCTAAGGCATGTCGAGGGCATTCACGGTGCTAAATAGTGTAACCTTCTTTTAGGTTCAATGCGACAAGGAAGCAGCCCGTTTGATAAAGGGGAAGGGTGCACGCAAACCAGACGAACTGCAAGATCAACTGAAAAAGACTGGTATTCAAAGACATTAGAGATAAACATCGATTTTAACAAAACGTCGAGCAAAACTAGATTCCAAAGTATGAAAAAAGTGGCCTGACGCTTGAAAAAGTGTTCACGATAGAAGGATTATCGGTTACGCATACTACAGTACTTTTCGTCGTAATTTTGCCTAAAAATCTTAGCGACATTTCCAAATAAATGTAAACTTGAAAACCCATAATACATTTAGGTAAACGGTAAGTGTCGTGCAACTTTTAAAAGGCTGGAAGTTCCCCACGAAAGAAAATCAATTCAAACGATAAAGTGGCAAAAATACATTCGCCCTCCATAAATTCACTTCAGATTTGTACATCTATATTGTTATTAACTAAGTCAAATATGCGGGTTGCGTCTGAACAAACGAACATTTGCCAATAGACGAGAATATGCGAGTTCCAGGCAGCAGTTCAGAAGAAGATGCGATCACTGGAACAAGGGCTT